ATGTAGAATTTACCAGAGGTCTATAATGTACTTGCAAAAAAATAACTAAGTCAAAGTAACATATGACCAGAAAAGGACTTTGAGAAAACTACTTAAGTAAAAGTAATAAAACTGTTCACAAAAATTGGGAAAGTAAAAGTAAAAGTACTTTTACACACTCTCTAATAAACAGTTGAATTTACTGAACCAAACTGGCTCCACTAAGCCAGGTTGAGTAAACTGAGCAATATATTCTTCGCTCAATTTACTCAACAAGACTTCGTGGAGCCAGTTGACGTGACTTTGTTGAGTAAATTCAACACTTCATGTTTTTAGAGTGCAGAAACACCTTCTTTCATGATGAGTTTGAACGTATTTAATTTTGTAACGAGTAACTGTATAATTTCGTTACATTTTAAAGTAAGGAAGTAAAAGTATCATTTTTAGCTTTAAAATGTTACAAAGTAAAAGTAAAAGAAGCTATTTTAACAGTAGTTGGCAAAATTACAAATCCTCAAAAAAAAAAAACTACTTAAGCATTGTAATGAAATAAATACATAGTTACTATAAACCTCTGGAATTTGCACAGCAAATTTCGGCTACTTTTGAACCCTGTGCACCTCCACCTAGTGATGGGATGCCGTCATTTTGCAGGTAAAATAATCCACATTATAAGAGATGTCGTTTATGGTCAATTCTGCTTTTAAAGCAGCTTATTTTAAGACAATAAAACATCTTTGAAGCTCTCACATAAAATGCAAAGGCAGGCAACATTTGACCCACAGGCCTTGAGTTTGACGCTTGCTTTAGAAGGACAGGTTGARATTTTTAAAAATACGACAATTTATGTGTAATCATTAAACACAAATTTGTTTTTCAGATGAAACTCCCATCAGTAACTCTCAACTAGGTAAGAAAAAAAATTGTTTAGAATGTTGAAAACTAGATTTATCGATTAGTCTTAACGTTTTTTTTTCTTTTTTCTATCTTATTTATTTTTTATTTTTTTGTCCACCAGCACATGGTGATCCATCTCTAATGAACCCGTTAACCAGCGCTCTGATCTCAGTTGTGGTCGTTCTGGGCGGAGTCAGTGTGGGCTTCTTCTTCTTGTCGCTCCGCCTCCTSCAGAAGTCCCGCCTCCAAAGAACTGCAGCCTCAGGAGTCATGAACCCAAACTTTAAATGATATTAATATTAATTATACCAAACTGTCTTCTTATAGCTCTTATCCTGATATTACGTGTTATATATGACATGTTTTAGGTATTTATTACATTTAATACCTCATTAAAAAAAGATATCAGTTTTGGTCAGTAGATGTGCTATAAAATGAAAAATAAATAAATTTAAACAGATATGTCTTTATTATTATTATTTTATAAATCTCGTCACTGTTAAAGGAATTTAAAAATGGATAAATTGTGAAATGTCCTCACTATATAAAAGCAAGTAAATTGTTTAAATTTGCAAAGAAGTATTGTTCAGTTTTTGTACAAAAAAAAATACAGTTGTTGCTTTATGGTTAGATTTCTTTTTMATGCATCGTTATTGCATTTTCCAGTTTCTAACCATGATGTGGAACCATAAATCAATTATGGAGTGACCAACACATTATATAACATATATATATNCTGTCAGGAGACAAGAAACCATCTGAAGCATCTGTCAGGAGACAAGAAACCATCTGAAACATCTGTCAGGAGACAAGGAACCATCTGAAACATCTGTCAGGAGACAAGAAACCATCTGAAACATCTGTCAGGAGACAAGGAACCATCTGAAACATCGGTCAGTAGACAAGTAACCATCTGAAACATCTGTCAGGAGACAAGGAACCATCTGAAACATCTGCCAGGAGACAAGTAACCATCTGAAACATCTGTCAGTAGACAAGTAACCATCTGAAACATCTGTCAGGAGACAAGAAACCATCTGAAACATCTGTCAGGAGACAAGGAACCATCTGAAACATCTGGAACCATCTGAAACATCTGTCAGGAGACAAGGAACCATCTGAAACATCTGTCAGGAGACAAGAAACCATCTGAAACATCTGTCAGGAGACAAGGAAC